CTTTGTGAAATTAATAATTTTGAATTTATAAATTGATAAGCTTGTTGAAGAGTTCGTTTTAGTTTGTTAATAGTTTTATCATTTATCTTAATTCAATTTACTGTATATTTTTAATTTGTGAGCGAGACTTGCGATATTTTTGCCAGAATATTTGCTAATCTCTTGACAATTCCTATCTCCTAAATTATATATTCGGTAAACTGAGCTATTCAATACGCCATTAAGTTAGATGGTAATCACCAGAACTGCGGAAACGGGTCAGTCATAGATCTGTCTCTTATACACATCTAGATGTGTATAAGAGAATAATACTGTATATTAACTCGGGGTTCCAGTAAAGTAAATATAGTAAGGTAATGAGATTTGATAGTCAAAAAAACTATGTCGATCGTATGTGATACAGTCATACCTGTCTCTTATACACATCTAGATGTGTATAAGAGACAGATATTAACTCGGGGTTCCAGTAAAGTAAATATAGTAAGGTAATGAGATTTGATAGTCAAAAAAACTATGTCGATCGTATGTGATACAGTCATACAGTAATATATTTGTATTCTTATAAATTCAAACATTCGGATACGATCTGCAAAAAAAAACTTTATTTTCTGTTTCATTCATTATGTCGGATAATAAATTTTTACCAAAATTATCACAAAATTTACTCGAAATTTTGAATGATGAAGAATATTATGATGTTACAATAGAAGTTGGTAATGACCCTTATGTTAAAATTTTTCGCGCTCATATGGTTATTTTGAACTATCGTTCTCTTTATTTGAGAAGAATTTTGTCAACAAATAAAAAGAAGAATGACGAAACGTTAACACATATTAAATTAACAAATATTTCACCTGAAATTTTCCAAATAATTTTGAAGTAAGAACGGATTAAATTATAATTACTTAATTTAATATATAGTTTACATATTTTGTGATTATTTCATTAAAAAAAATAATTTTTCTTTTTTTTTAGGTATATTTATGGAGGAAAACTTTCTTTGGAAGAATATGATGCCTCGCACGTTGTTAAAATTATGGTTGCTGCCAGTGAACTAAGTCTTCAGGAGCTAATACCCCATTCGCAATCATTTTTGATTGATAACCAAGCAAACTGGATTGAACAAAATTTTATTTCAATATATCAAACTAGTTTTGAGAGTGATTCTTTCTTAGAACTTCAAAAGTTTTGTACGGAATTAATATCTAAACAACCGGAAAAATTTTTAATTTACCCGATTTTACTTCAATTTCAGAGAAAACTTTGATTTCTCTTCTTCGACACGATAATCTTCAAATGAATGGAATTCAAGCCTGGGAACACGTTCTTAAATGGGGACTTGCTCAAAATCCTGAACTCCCTTCTGATCCTGCAAACTTTTCAAAAGATGATTTCAATGTTTTAAAGAATACCATACAACAATGTATTCCTTTTATTAAATTCTTTACTTTGTCCTCTAAAGAATTTCTGGGTAAAGTTTTACCTTATAAGAAAATTTTACCCAAGGAATTATATAAGGAATTATTGAAAATTTTTTTGAATCATGATTATAGGCCAGACGAACTTCAAATGATCAAAACAATCAGTTCAGAGAGCGTTAGTAATTCAACAGCCAATTCAAACAAGCAGGTCGAATTTACTCCAAAAGTTGATTCAATAAGTATAGATTCGATAATTATTAAAACTCAACATTCTGAATTAATCTCAAAATGGATTGATAGATTAGAAATTACAGATAAGGCAGAAAATTCGTACGAATTTAAATTGATTTATCGTGGATCTCGTGATGGATTTAATGCTCCTAGATTTCATGATTTTTGCGATAACAAATCTCATACTATAGCAATTTTAAAAGTAAAAGACAGTCATGAAATTCTTGGAGGATATAATCCGATTGAATGGAAGTCTGAGGGCTTGGGCGTTACTAATGATAGTTTTATATTTTCCTTTATGAACAATGAAAATGTTGAAGGTTATCTTCTAAGTAGAGTGATGGATAAAAAGCATGCCATAAATTATAAGAAGAAATTGGGTCCATCATTTGGTTATGGTGATCTTATATTATTGGGAAAAACTTGCTATGTATCTGATGGTAAAAAATTTAATAAGTGTTATTGTAAACAGTCATCCTATGAAAAACCTATCAGAAAATCTGAAGATAAGTTTTTTATAGAAGACTATGAAGTATTTCAGATTAATAGTTTTTGACTTATTAGTAGTATGATTGTTCTCCTTAGTCTAATTTCTATTACTAAAAAATTTAAGCTTGATTAAGTATTCCAATATACCATTATGACATATAAGTCGAAGTTTTCGTTCTACTTTTGTCTTTATTCTTTTCTAAATAAATGAATAAATAAAATAATAAAAATAAAAATAAAAATAACGTTTATTTCAAAAAAAAAATACCTTATAATTTACTTCATGTCTTACTATCACCAGTTCTCTAGTCAATTTATCCCCTAAAATAACAATAGTTAAACAATTGCTTCCTGGCCGGTGGGTCGGAAATGACAGAACGTATTCTATTCCCACCCGTTATACGATTTAAAACACAATTTTCACTATCATTAGACTATATCTAGCATTTTTTTAAATGATTCATGATTGGATTATGCCCTCCAAGAATCTTGTCACTGTTCTTCAGTTCACTTTAAAATTGTTGCATCAGGATTAAATCCATCACGAGATCACGAGGAATTAATTTGAATAACTTAATTTTAAAGAATTTAATTTCGAAGATTTTGATTTTAATTATTTTAATTATTTTGAAACTTCATAATTATTCATTTTAAAATTAATTCGACATTTTGATTTGAAATAATTTAATTTTTGAATCAAAATTTTAATCTCGACCATTTGAAGCTCGGATGATATAAAATTGAGATCCAAAAAAAATTAGTATACAAGGACCCCGAAATATACATAAAAGGTCGAGTTTGCGTATAATGAGTCAAAAAAATCATGTAGATCATTCCTTTTATGGATAATCCCAGCCAAAATAATATTTCCTAATTTAGATAATGGCTGAAATTATCGTAATTCCGGCCCTGAAAGAATGCGTATTTTGGACCACTTCTGGACCTGACCTCTACATATATATTTCGGGGTCCTAGTATACATATAAAATTTCTCGAGTAAAATTTCTCTATCAAGGGAATACAGTCGTCCTCCCATATAGTCACCCCCTGTATAATCACAACTCCCTTATAAGCACATTTACATTAATCCCAAGTTACTAATAAACTTATTAAAAAACCTTCCCTTTAATCACATCATATATAATTTTTATAGTCACACCATTTTTTTATTGTCCCGAAGGGTGTGATTATATGGGAGGATGACTGTATATCGTTCAAGAAGTTAAATATCACTTTATTGAAATCATTCTTTGTATTTTGAGCGAATCATCAATTTGAACAAATTGAAAAGAGATCTCGTGATATTAATTAACTGGTTCACTTGATATTCGAATATTTTTGAAATTTTGGGAAGAATCATTTTTTGAGGACTCGTTTGATAATTCTAATTACCGTATAATGTTGTTTTATTCAACTCGTTTTTTTTTTATTTTTAAATCAAAAAGTTTGTAAAATGAATAATCAATTTCTGAAGACCAAATTCATCGCCGTCACTGATCAAGAGAAACTTTCTTTGAAGGAAAGTGATCTTTCATTTCAACTTAAAATTCTTTTTGATTTCACGCCTCATTGAGTTTATTCTAAAAAAAAAGTAAAAATCGATATTTCAAATTGATCGCACAGACGATTTACTTTGTACTAAAAAAAATTATTAAACGATTAAAAACGCCTTTACTTATGTCGTTAAGATTATTTGAAAGTTTTTTAACAGAATTTATATATATTTTTAATATTCGATTATTTATTTGATCATTACAATATAGTTAAATTATAAAATAAATATATCAATATGATCATAGCATACCAGAACCAGCCAACTTCAGTTCACGTGATCTACAATATATAATCATCGTTACCCCCGTGTTCATTCATTGCTTTCTAAAGCTTTTTATTACTTATATGTATGTACTTTTACTATTTACATACTTTGTTATGCCTAATAAAACTAGAACGTCTGCATAATCCTATTTGGCAACATATGCCCGTTTATTAATCGGTGCTCCCAATAATTTTTCTTTGTTAAATTTACTGTGTTATTATTAAATTTTTTCTGTTGTTCATTACTGGTAATCTGTCCGAATATCCAATTATTATGGCTCTTTTATGCTCAGTAAAAATCCTGTGATTATTTTATCACCCGATTATGAAGGGTGGTTACATGAAGAGGCTTGAAGCGCCATACTTTTCAAAAATCCGATTTGGAGTATTTTTACCCTGGATGTATCCAGGTGATCATCCGGGATTATTGAATTTCGTAACATTACCCTGGATGATCATTCGGGATTTAATATTTCGCTTTGTATCTGACAACTATTACATATGCCCTGTTTGATTTGTGTATCACATTACTAATTTAGTGTGATTTTGGTTAATATAGTTATTTAACGGGATAATTAACCAAATTATAGAGATTTTAGAGATTTCCAAAGGATGAGAGTTTAATATTAAATTTTTTTCAATAATTTCAAAACTTGACGAATATGCGGATCTTGAATTTGTTGTAGAATATTGCATCATACTAACAACGAATGCCAAGATTTCATATTCTTTTTTACTGTCAATTAGGTTAGTTTGTCGATCATTTTGTTAAATTAACCGTTAACTATACAGTATGACGATCATAAGGACGTTAATTAACTAGGGTTAATTAACTAAAATACCTTTATTCCATAAATACCCGACATTGAAAAAACAAATATAAAAACCACTGATAAAAAACGTCTCTGACCCACCCCATAAAAAAAAAAAAAATTACATTAAAAACAAAATTACATGTCTTTTTACATTTCTTAAACTCGTAAAATTTGTACTTTTTTTTTAAACGAAAAAAAAAAAAATTTATAATAATTTATAATAATCATGACACATATTTTTCAAGATTCTCAAAATTTCCAAGGTTATAATGAAAATTTGACCAAACTTATTTCAAGTCCTTTTGAAAATAATAATAATAACGACAATATTGTTACAACTAATCCAAACTTTTTTAATGATTCTTTTCACGAAAACGAACCTACTGTTTCTGTTCCTTTAACACATTATGTTACGCCAAAATTTCAATCAACATCTCGTACGATTTCTCAACAAAAAAATGTTCCATTTATGTATCAAAAATTTCAAAGAATTTCTAATTCTATTTTGATATTTGAAGAAAATGCTAAAAGACAACTTGAACAATTATATGAATTAAAGAATCATTTAAATCAATTGAAACAATTTCTTAACACACAACAACAACATTCTATGCCTCGTCGTATAAACCGTATAAACCGAAACCGTGATTATCGAACTCATCCTTATTTGAATGAACGTCAATTAGTCACTTCTCACATATCAACTGCTACAGAAATTGACTGTCATTATGATAATAATGAATTAAATTTTATGAATGAACAAAATATTTTATCAAATAGTTTTTGTCCTCAACAAGTGAATGTTCCTGCTGCAGTTAACTTTTCTGAAAATAGTGAAATTTTAACTAGTCCTCAAAATTTTGAATTTTATGACAATAATTATAATGTTCATGAAATCTAGAAAATTTGTAAATTTCATAATATATACTGTATGTTATTAACAATTATTTTTTTTCTTATTTATAGTTCACTATATTGCTTATTATTTTATACCTTTATTTTTTATTGTGTATTTTATTTTACTTTTTATTATTTTCATTATTGATAAAATAATGGCATGTAGTTACGCTTATATTTAAGTAAATAAAGATGAGTCAGGTGCTGCGCTTGCAGTAAATTTCGATAACGCCAAATATCATTCTAAATTGAGTATTTACAAGTGTTAAAAATTAAATATATTTCATTATATGAACCAAATGAATCTATTTTCTATTTTAAGTATAAATCGAATTTAAGTATCAAAAGCGGGACAGCAAAAAAAAAAGAAACGCATGCGATGATGTTTTTATAAAAAATTTCAAGTTTTTAAATATTTCTTCGATTTGTTATGAGATAAAGTCTTTTTTGAAAAACATTGAGAAATTTTTTTCAAGGATATACGGACCAATAAAATTTATTGAAATATTACATCTGTTCAACTTTTCTGAATCGAACAATAAGTGCGTGACCAAAGTCACGCAGACACGTGATTTGTAACGATACGGTTCTAATACGGCGACGCAAATTAATACAATTTGCTCCCCGCTGTTCCGTACTGGGTTCTGGGAAAGATGGATTTCTCTAGTGAGGGTCCGCTCCGTTATGGTTTGGATGAAGTTTTATGTTGCCCGCTTCTTTTATTCTTTGGAATTGTGTAGTGACTTTTCATTGTAATTTTCCTGCTTTACATAAATAAAATAAATAAAACAAATATAAAATAAATGAATACAAATTGCGATGACGTTTCTAAAATACAGATAAATCAGTGATTTCAGAATCTGTGTCTAGAATAAAGAAAAATTTACATAATGTTTCTTCAAATATCAACGAGAAGGTGGGATTTTAACGATTTTACAGTTTATAAAATATAGATTCTCCCTCACATGCCTTAGTCATTTGGAAGTAGCGTCAAATGGATTGACACGCTTTTCTTAAAAATTTAGTAATTATACACTAAATAAGACTAAATGATAACAATCATTTTCATAGAGTAAAAAAAATAATTTATTGATAATATAATATGTTTCTGATCCATTATTTATGATAAATAAAAAATTAAACTTTCTATAAACATTTAAAAAATTAAAATTAGATATCAAAATCATATTCCTGGGTAATATATTCTGCAAATATAAATTAAGAACGTTAGGTTAAAATTTAATATTAAAAAATTACTATAGTCAGTATATATTTACATACCATCAGTACTTAATTTCATATCAATATCTAATTCGATGAATTTTGTAAAATAATCTAAAGAAAAATGAAAAATTATACGTTAATTTTAATTAAATCAAGTTATGAAATTGATATATTATCAAAAAAAAATTATTACCATTATTTTCATTTTCATACAATTTTTTTCTTTTAATACTTTGACCTAAATAAATTTTAATTAATAAATATTGACATCCTAAAATCTTATTATAAAATTGTAAATAAAATCATACCATCATCATTATTATCTTCAAATTTTCGTTTGACTTTTTCTAAGTTAATAGATTGACTTCTTGAACTCCTTAAAGACATTGCAGAATTAATCATACCACTTAAAGGCCTGCTCTTATAAATGGCACCTGGATTATATTTTGGTACAGGTCCAATATCTGATGATTCTATAATTTTAGTTGGATTCTGATTTTTACTATTTTGTTCTTCATTTCTAACCAATATACAAATTCTTTTATATATATCATTGGCTGTCGGTCTTTTACATGGATCAGAATTCCAACATTCTTTCATTAATTCAATATATCCTTCAGGTGCATTTGTTACGATTGGTGGTCGCAATCCATCACGTATTTTAGTTATAAGGTTTGTATCATGATGTTCATCCCAAAAAGGTCTTCTACCTGTCATAAACTCCCACATGATCATTCCAAAACTATATATATCAGAAGCTTTAGTATATTTTTGTCCTTGAAAAATCTCTGGTGCCATATAAGTAATAATACCATATTTCACATTATTATCATCTGTAGATTCAGTAGCAGATTTACTTAACCCTAAATCACCTATTACTACATTATACGACGGGTTACTTGTAAAAAAAATATTTCCACTATGTAAATCTCTGTGAATAATATTTACACTATGGATATTAATAAGTCCATTCGCGATACATGTTAAATCATGTAATTTATTAGACCATTTAATGTTATAAAAATCATTACTTAGGTAATGTATTAAATTACCTAATTCATAATATTGCATAATAATCATAAAATCTTGTGTATTCACATCTTGAGTAATACCAAAATAATTACAAATGTAACTATTAAGCGGAATTTCTTGGTAAGATATCTTATTACTTCTACGCTTAACCTGATAATTGTTATGCTGTGAATTCCAATTTGTGTAAAAATCATAATATACCTTAAGCTAAAATAAAAAAAAGTTATGTTATTAATTATCTACGATTTATTTTAACATATTATTTTACGTTACCTCATTCAATTCCTTAGACGTAATGTTTTTAGAATCATTGATTTTTTTGAGAACTACTGTATAATTAGGTTTGCGAGAAATATTATCACTCTTACGTTCAACATTATCCCAATTAATCGGACCATCAACCCAAGTTGCTTTATAAATTTTGCTAAATCCTCCCTCAGCAATAAATTCTATATTTTTGAATTGTTCATAGGGAACAAACTCCAATTTTCCTTCCTTCCTGACCAAATTGACTTGTGTAAATCTGATGAAATCATCGATAATTTTGTTTCCACTCGGTTTAAATAATGTCTTCATTTTGTAACAAACGTGACAAATCTGGTGAGTTTCATCTAAACGTGACCTTCTTTTATTACATTCATTACATTTCTCTTTTTTATACTTTGATTTGACTATAGTTTGCGTTGGTTGAAATGAAGATGTATCATTTGATGTTAAAAAGTCAATTTTATGATTATGATTTGTTAATTGGTTCATAATTTTTTATCTATTAATTTATTTGTTTATTTTTGAATATATTTAAAAGAAACAGCTTCTATATATATACGTTTTTATAATAAAAAATTGAACAATGAATTCTTTTACAAAATTAAAAAAAAATCTGCGTATAATACCCGATAGAAGTTTCTAATGTTTTGATACAAAATGGATCCTACATTGTTTATAAAATTGATTTTTTTAATGCCTAATATGGTTAAAGTATGTTTCCAAATGACATTTCGATTTTTATTGTACATTCCGTACAGAATTCTTAGAACTTATCAAAATGGGACTTGCATTGTGTTACGTTAAAGTTTCACAAACCTACAACAATATTAACCGATCTTAAAATACCGATAATAATTAAACAATAAAATAATATTAAATTCTTTCATAATAATTCTTGGAGATATATTTTATATTTCAAGAAAAAATTTCTATTAAAAGAATATATATATTTATAAAAGTCTAGAAGAAAATTTTAATGATTTAATTTTTTTTTTTGAAGTCTAAAAAAGGAATAGTTAATTTATAAACTGTCTCTTATACACATCTAGATGTGTATAAGAGACAGATGGTGAACAAATATATTTTTAATTACGATATACTATTTTTAAACTATCATTATTATCTCTCAACATGGTTCTAATGATATCGAATTTTCATACTTATTTTTTTAAGCATGGACTCTCCTCTAAGACCATTTGACTGAGATTGAATGTACTGTAGAAATAAATTGTACAGTATATTAAATGCGATCAGATGCTATGTGTTTGAAATTAACGAGAGTGCTTAATTTGAGTATAATAGTTGTTATGACAGCAAATATAAAATTCTTAAAATTTTTTAAGAACAAACGAAAAAAGTTATTGATCAACTATATCATGATTTACCATGCAGTTCGTGCAGCCACTTATTCTAAAAAAGTAATACAAGAAATTGCAAATTAACGAAACAAACATTATCAAAAAATTATTAGTAAAAACCAAGGAGTGCATAGAAAAATAAAGTTTTGACAAAATAGTAATGAATTTTATTTGATCATAGACAATTTGTTGAGATTTTTGTTTGACTACAGCACAATATTTGGGGCTCATAATTAGAATAATACTTTACCAATTTTGCAATGACCCGTAATCCAATTATATTCATTATATTCCTTATTATTTTTCTATTGCGTTTACTGTGTATATTATATATTCGTACTGTAATAAACCTAAAATAATCTAAACAAGATAAAAAAAACGTTAGTATGATTTGCACCATACTCCATAAAAAAAAGCTTCCAGAAAAGTGTCAATATCATGCTACCAATAGTTCACCCTAGAAC